GAACGCTTCCACGTCCGGCTCCGGGCCGGAGCCCAAGCCCCAGCCCCAGCCGGTGCCCGAACCGGAGCGGGGACCGCTGTCAGAACAGGTGTCAGAGGCAGTTTCGGAGGCAGTGCCAAGATCGGAGCCTGTGTCCGAGACGACGTCTGAGCCGGAACCAGGGGCTGGGCAGGCATCGGAACTGCTGCAGGGGTCGCGGCCAGGGTCAGAGTCAAGTTCAGGTGTAGGGGCTGGGCCCTTCACTAAGGCCGCATCAGAGCCGCTCTCCCGAGCGGTGGGGAGCGCGCCCTTTCTCAGACCCGAGTCGGGATCGCTGCCAGCGTTAAAGCCCCTGCCTCTTCTGCGATCAGGACAGGCGAAGACTCCTCTTGGGGTTCCAATGTCGGGGACTGGCACGACCTCCAGTGCCCCACTGGCCTTACTGCCTCTGGACAGCTTCGAGGGCTGGCTCCTCAAGTGGACCAACTATCTGAAGGGCTACCAGCGCCGCTGGTTCGTGCTGGGCAATGGTTTGCTCTCTTACTACAGGTATGGCAGCGCCAGGGTGGGACATGGGGATTGGAGGGTGATGATGCTGCAGGGATGGTGATGGAGGGCCTCCAGGGTTGGGGGACACTGCCGCTAGTCTAGAGATGTTTAGGGGCGTGTATTCCAGCAGGACAAGGCACACTTCTGGCCCGCCGCCAAGGGCTGGGGGCCCTGACCTCTGGCAAGGGTGAATGTAATCTGTGGACATGACCTCTGGCAAACTTGGATTTTTGGGCAAGTGGGGAGGTGGAGTAAGGGAGTGATCTGGGGCCTCAGTTCTCTCCTGCTTGGCAGTTGTGGGGCTTGGGGCAGCTAGCTAGAGTCAGCCCTTCCAAGTCCTTGCCCTTTCTGGTTCGGGAGCTAACATCATTGTGTGTTTGGGATTGAGGGAGACAGTCACCTTGTTCAGTCCTTAGGACCCACACTCTTAGGAAGGGCTGTTTATTCTTCCCGCCTGGGGCAGTTACTCCCACCTTTCCTGATGCCTCTGGTTGCCAGGCCTTGGGCTGGGCACCACAGACTCACAGATGTATTGGACAGGGCTCCTGGCCTTCAGGAGTCCATCTTGGTGTTTTGCGGAGAACCAGGAGGTGTTTTGCTGCCCTCCTTTCTTATTCCAGAACCAGCATGGGATTCAAAATTGAAGTCCAGCAGTGAGAGAACTAACATTGTCTTCCCACTGAAAGTGGTTGAAAGGAGGAGGTTAGTGAAGCCTCCCTTTGCTTTCTTACTGGCTCTTCCCTGAGTCTGCTTCCTGGGGATGGTTGGTTTAAGCCTTGAGAACTCAGATCAGTCTATGCCAGTGGTTCTCAAACCTGAGTGTGCATCAGCATTCCCTGAAGAGCTTGTTGGAACACAAAGTGCTGGGCCTCCCCACTGAGTTTCTGATTCAGTGGGCCTAGGGGAAGGGCCTGAGATTCGGCTTTTCTAATAACTTCCCAGGCGTGGCCAGTGATGCTGGTCCAGTACCACACTCTGAGAAGCACTGTTTCACTGTTGCACACAGAAGGACCTTGACTTGCTGTTGCTGAAATTCAGGTCACTTCATTCACTTCATTCAGCCAACAGTATCCCTTCAAGTCACCCACTACAGGGTTTTGTTTTCTGTTGTTTTTGTTTTTGAGACGGAGTCTTGCTCTGTTGCCCAGGCTGGAGTACAGTGGCACAATCTTGGCTCACTGCCACCTCCGCCCCCCAGGTTCAAGCAATTCTCCTGCCTCAGTCTCCCGAGTAGCTGGGATTACAGGCTCGCGCCACCATGCACGGCTAATTTTTGTATTTTTAATAGAGGCGGGGTTTCACCATGTTGGCCAGGATGGTCTTGATCTCTTGACCTCATGACCTGCCCATCTCGGCCTCTCAAATCTTCTTTTCTTAAAATAACATGTGTAGACAGTTGACATTTCAGAGTAATCTCAAATGTGTAGATTCTCTGGGTAACTAAGAAAAATTCTAACTGCTTGCTGATAATGTTGTGAAGATAAATGCTAGTTCTGGGGGGAGGAGGGAGTAAGAACAAGTTTCTTGTGTGTGTGCGTGTACAGTCCAGCTCTGCAATTTCCTTTTCAGACTTTTCGAGATTCTAAGATGGTTCAAATTGTTGCTGACCTCACCCAGGTAGAATGAACGATTCCTGACATTTATAGGACCCTGTGCCTTCACTGCATTCCATGCAAGGCTGGCCAGGAAAGGGGAACTGAGGCTGAATGAATGAACCTCAGTGGCCTCCCCAGAGGCAGCCAGCTTGCAGGCTGAGTGTCCGAACGCCACCAGAGATGAGTTTATGTGCAGAAAAGGCCCATTTGAGGTGCAGCTGGAATTGCCACTTGAGATGTTTGATGCTGCTCTCCTGTCCCTGCTTCTGATCTGAATCCCCCCCTTCCAGAACAGGCCATCCTGCCAGCTGGGATCAAGGACTGAGCATCCTCCAGGTCTGTCATGAAACCCTGAGAGCAGCAGGGTGGGTTTTCGGTTGCGCCATCTGTGCCCAGCGCTGTGCATGTGTGTTATCTCCTCCAGCCCTCTCCAGACACCCAGCTCTCAGCAGTTGGCCAAATGGGTGTGGCTGGGGATAGAGGTGAGATTAGGGTACTCGTGAGTTGGAAACAAAGTGAAATAATTTTTAAATTCATGATCTCTTTTCCCTGGGGGCGGGTAGAGTCAGGCTTACCTGCTGGGCAATGTGGCTGGTGAAGAGGGAATCAGAGCCATTTCTCTTGCTGGCTCCCTTTTTGGAAAGACCACTCTCAACTTTTAATTTTTTTTAATTTTTTTAATTTTTATTTTTTTAGACAGAGTCTTGCTCTGTCGCCAGGCGGGAGTGCAGTGGCGTGATCTCGGCAAACTGCAAGCTCCGCCTCCCGGGTTCAAGCAATTCCCCTGCCTCTGCCTCCTGAGTAGCTGGGACTACAGGCGCGCACCACCACACCTGGCTAATTTTTTGTATTTTAGTAGAGACAGGGTTTCACCATGTTGGCCAGGATGGTCTCTAACTCCTGACTTCGTGATCTGCCCGCCTTGGCTTCCCAAAGTGCTGGGATTACAGGCATGAACCACCGCACCTGGCCAACTTTTAAATTTTTAACTACGTGAAGCCTGGTGTTTGGAGAAAATGTGGGCACCTATTTCTTGTGCCCCCTGCCATCCCATCCCACTTTCTGGCCTCCCCTCCTCCAGGATAGCCACCATTCCAAATCCTGGTCACCATCTACTTTTCTCCCCATTTTATTTAATTTTATCTCATCTAGGTGTAATTTTTAAGAGCCCATATTTTTTATTACAATTTTTTTTTTTTTTTTTTTTTAGACAGAGTGTTGTTCTGTTGCCCAGGCTGCAGTGCAGTGGCCCGATCTCGGCTTACTGCAACCTTCACCTCCCGGGTTC